TATTTATTACTACACACACACACACACACACACACACGCGCGCGCGCGCGCGCGCTATGTGTGTACGCGCATGTATAAAATTTACATCCCTGAAATTAATTTGAGAAAATCCCTGAATTTTTAATTATTTACAGTTGAATAAATAAAAATAAATAAAACTTCTTTTATTTTCAAATTAGTCTAAAGATCTGTAGATGAAAGATGATATCAAGGAAGCTGAGATCATTATATATTTACACGGTATTCCAAAAGCATTTAAAGTTCTTTTAAACACATTATTTAACAAAAAATTTTATTTCAGTTCAATTTTTTTCTTACCAAAAGCGTTATTTCATTTTAATTTTCAAGTTTTAACATTAAAAAAAAAATGAGATTTTGAATTTCAAAGAAACGAACTAAATTCTTCAAGCTAATATCAAGTAAATAAATTTTGATAGAACTTTAATTTGAAGGTTTAGCATATAAAAATGTTAAATATAAAACCGAAAAATTATAAGAAATGATTATCTTTTGCTAAGAAAAAAATTTTTATATTTTTAAGCCAAAAAATTTGCTAAAAAACTGATGATTTTGGAAATCTGATTTGGAAAACTGATGATTTTGGAATATCTTGTACATGTGAAAAAATTGCATTTTGTTGATCTTAATGGACTAATAAGGAGACTAGTACATCTGGCCCAAACTTTATAATTATTTTCGAGCCACTTCTTCACTAAACTCATCTTTCTCCTGCGATGCTAAATAATACCTAATATCCATGCTTTCTTATAGTATCCACAAAACTCGTTATATTATTTTTACGTGATTTATGCTCATTGCAAAATAGCAATTCTAAATTACTTAGCAATTTAAAGCATGTTTGTAAATAGAACGAGTATAATTTTAATGAAATTAACGAGCATTCTCGTTCCTTTAAAATATAAAATATAATATTCGCATTATTTTAACAAATAAAATATGTTTCAGTGTACAACAGTTACAATAATTATAACAAAAATGTATTTTTTATATTACTTTATATATCTATCACTAATAAAATTATAAATTCTAAAACTTGTCTTTGTAGAATATTTTATGTAATAGAGATAAATGCATTCGATATCTCTGTACAAAGAAAATTCTATTTAAGAAGAAATTTAATAAAACCATAGAGTTCTCTCTGGTAACATATACGACATATAATATATACTATGTGCACAAATTAAGTTATGCAAAAATGCAACAGATATAAAAAAGAAAGAATATATAATACCATAAGAATTTAAAGATACTGGATGGATCTGTTTATACTGCAACATAAATGTGATAAAAATACAAAGAAAAATAAGTTCATATAAAAACGACTATCTTGAATTACCGGATTATCGTACTGCTTGCACACTGAAAGCAATCTCATATACATTTTCATT